AGTCGGCCACTGTCATAAGTTTTGTCAAGCACTAGATAGTATTCAGTGCACTATTCCAGTTAAGGGATAATAACCATAGTAATTGCAATGGAATAGTCAGCCACTGTCTCAATTTCAGTCAAGCACTAGATAGTCCAGTTAAGGGATAACTATAGTAAGTGTCATGGAATAGTCAGCCACTGTCTTAAGTTTAGTCAAGCACTAGATAGAGTTTCCGCCGGGAATATTACACTTAACCTCTGAAAGGGGCTGAGCTGAGATTACAACAAATGGAAAATACCACAATCAGTGCGCAAGTGGACGCATCCGCTAGGGGGAACACTTACCCTCCGAGTTGAATCCACCGCAAATTTCAGGCGATGTCGCAACCAACCAGGGTTTTCATCTTCTTTCAGTTCATCATCCTCCGCATCCTCGACACCATCCTCCGACTTCGAGCGAGCTTGTGCCAAGTTACTCTTGAATTGTTGCAGCATTGCAAGGGTCTGCACAAATGTCAAAACACGACAGAGAACTCAAGGCATTAAATCTACAGGATTTGCATGAACATTAGCTTTTTCTACTGGTAGGGAGGGGGGAGCGGGGGGTAGTGCGGTCGGAAGGTGGGGAAGTGGGTCTGAAGGCCATTTTTCACATAGGTACACCATGCTCCCATGCTGCCAATTAGGTGGGCCTGAAAGAGGAAGGGAAGCACTTAGTCTTTTGGGACATTCATTAAAGGGATTGGGACGGTACAGAGAAGATTAACATGGCCCCTTCGCAAGGATGACACACATAAATCAAGAAAGAGTCCAAGTTCTTGAAAAAAAAAAACAAAAAAGATAAGGAGCAACCACCTAAGTTAAGAAGAGAGACGGATGCGGATTGAAGAGCAAACACTCAGTCCTTCAGGAGATTCGTGAAAATTGGAACGATACAGAGAAGATTAGCATGGTACCTGCACAAGGATGACGGGCATAAATCGAGGAAGGGTCCAAGTTAAAAAAAAAAAGAAAAAAAAAAAAGAAAAAGAAAAAAAGAGCACGCACCTAGGTTAAGAAAAAAAGCTGATTCTGATTCTCGCAGCGACCAGGACAGAAGTGGGCTTGAAGCATCGCACTCAAAGAGCTGCTTTACTTTTGTTACTGTTAATATTACTATATCAAACAAGTGGACCTGCCGCAGCTACGCTGAGGCGAAGGACAATGACAAAAACATTTTGCGAAACAGCCCAGCCATCAGTTGGACCTCATCTTTGCAATGTACCCCTACTGGACGCTGCCCAACTTTGCAAAAATGCCCCGGCAGTTGCCAAGTTTTCATAGGTGCAATTGGCACACCCTCCTGACAGAGGCATAACACAAACATGTCATCCCAAAAGGCCATTCCACTGTGCCCATATCT